AAAATGCAGGCAGTTTTGAAATACCATGTCATGTAAAATAAATTAGTAGTAAATAAAATCCTGTACAAGCCTTCTAGTTGAATGGGTCACAAAATACAACAGATGTATAAAAATTCATTGTAAAAAATACTATATAGAAAGCAGGCATCATATTCTGCAGATTCACATGGGTGTGCAGAATAATGCTAAACAAAAAGCAAAACACAAAAAAATGGTTGATATTACTTTAAATTTTGCTTTTGTGTTTAAACTGAATCTATTCTGGCACACAGGAAACAAAGACGTTTGATTGATTAATGACAGGTGTATAAGAACAAAAGGTAACTTATTACAAATTCTAAATTAACTTTTCCCTATATATTTAAAAGTAAAAGCCTACTTACATTCATCAAAATGCACTGCATAGAAGTCAGTCTTACGTTTACGCTAAATAACATGATTACCAAACAAATACAGTGACAAATTGCTGACAAAGAAACAGACATGAACCAATAATCTGGAAACTACAAACACCACCTTCAGATAGACACACATCAAAATTTCTCTAAACGTAATCTGAGGTACAAGAAATCTTAGTTCATTCATTGGGTTACTGTGAAAAAACCCATGACTCAAACTCACAGTTACACTCTAAAAAGATATAATCAGAGATTTACAATTCACACCTCATTATCACAATAAACACAACTTCAACTAGTAATTACAGTACAACATAATAGCACACCGCAGCAGCAAACAAAATAGAAGATTATACAGTAATAATAAAAGTTAGAATACTCCCTACATACCCCCTAAACGGTTCAACTTAGCCTGAATGCCTCTGAGTTGTTCAATGAGATCTTGAGTGCCTGGTTTGCTGTATAATGTATTAAGGCATATAGAGATAACATCACCTGATTTAGCTACAATAGAACGTCTGTAAATGACATAATTAAAAAGAAGTTTAGATAATGAAATGAAAAAGAAAGCCATCTACAATCAAACTTCATTAATTACTGTACCTCTCTGAAACAGCCACCATGGTTGGAGTATTTGCAAATTTATTAACCATGATGCTAACTGCCTGGATAAGGTGAAAGTCATTGCCTTTCTCAAGGAAACACCGATCATTTGCAGCAATCATTCTGCAAAAATTAAAATTATCATTTAGAAAATATAGATAGAAATAATCCTAAACATTATAGGTATTGACATTTATCTCTCTGCACATACTTCTCATATACATCTAAAAGCACGGGGAGTGGAACACCAGTTGACAGCATAGTTGAGTGGACAATTGATGGGTCTCCTTTTGCAGAGCAGACTTCAACTTCAAGGGCTTTGACAAGCAGAGCTAAAAGAAATACTTTTGTGAAGTGGCAATTCCATAATTGTATTACCAATTTAATAGGCACTTTGTTTCTAGCTTACCAATTGGGAAAGACCGAGAAGCAAGAGAATATTCTTGACCTAAGGATTTTACTTTGTCCATTAAAGCAGATAAGCGGTCTTGGGTGTGCCGACGATTCATTTCTGTAGAAATAATATTGCGCCAAATATTCTCTATGAGTGTGGGGTCAGTGTGACCAGACACATGAATTATTGCCAGCTTGCATTCCCAAAGGTCGAAGGGCTCAGCATAGTCCTGGTATAGCTGTCGAAATTAAAATTGTGTAAGAATTTTGATGATTGCATTTAAGTCACAAAATATGCATCAAAAGAAATACCTGTGTGATGTCATACAAAGATGTGTTTAATCTCACAATTGCTGTTTCTACAGCTTCAGGTTGTGGATGCTGAGAGCGGAGGTTTGAAACAGCATCCAAAATCTGCATAATAATGAAGTGGTTAGGAATTGTGTTTCTCCCCTTCCTTAAAGATTTACAAATAAACAATACTTCACCTTCTGCTGAATTCTTGCAACTTCCATTTGATCTTCCAGCTCCCTTAAAAAGACTCCCAGATTTGGAGCTGCTCCCACTTTGTCACTTCGCATGCACATGATAGCATGTGCCAAATAATCTACCCGTTGCTTAAGATGAATCAGAGATCTGAATGACAAATTCAAGGAATACATAATCTTAATGTAATTTCAAACCGCCAGTATGAAGTTAACAGGTGCCAACTATGAATAGTATGTACTTTCACAAGGATTTCCTCATCCCCAAAAAACTTTACACCCACCTTGGTTTGCTTGCCAATTGGAAGAGAATTTTAGCTGCTGCTGCATGATTACCATTTCGCTCATGGAATTTCCAAAGCAAATCATTGACTTCAATAGAATCCGGCCGAGATCGTGCAGCTCTGGAAAGGAAGGTTTCCAGCCCTCTGTAAACATTGCTTCCTGCAAGGAGTTCTCCTTCCAGGCCCCGGCGCAGCATCCATTCATAGATGGCAACATGGCATAACTCATCCTCACAGCGAAGAGCTAGATCAATCAATCGTTTGGCCTGAAAAGCATTCCAAATGTATTAGGTTTGTCACTACATTTAGATTATCATAAATAGAAGAGTAGAACAGTGCACATAACAACCTGAGCTTGAGAATCAATAGGAGCAGATGGAGCTGAGTCACGGATGGCAGGAGGTCCAGGGGACAAAGGGACTACACTTGTATTGTGAGTGCGAGATTGACCATAGAGCTGATCCAAGACCCCAACAAGTTCTTTATACGCATCCATCCTTAATAGAGTAAGAAAGATGGATTGGTTCAATTGAAGGGTTTCAAGTTTGAGTAATGGTAAAAATGAAAATAGCAACGGTTCCTTACCTGTGCATGAATGCTTGACAACCCTCTGTATCTTCATTGGGTTCACCATTACGATAATAGTGTACTGCTACATCCTTTGGATCCAGCTTATTAGCAAATGAGACACACAACTGCAGTACACCATCATACCATTGAGCTGAATAAAATTTAGAACAGGCTGCACCTAAATTAAGATTTGGAGCAACTTCTTTACAAAGCTGCCAAAAAATAGTAAAAAAAAATAAATGAATGCTCAGTTAGGCAAAGCACACAAAAATGAAACATAATTCAAAATGTAAAATGTATTGATTGAAAATAATACCTGCAAAGCCCTTTGTAAAAGTCTTTCTTTTTCATCCACATTTGCCTCAGATTTGGCTTTTATTAGCATTTCATTGGCCTAGAGAAATTAGAGGAATAAAAATTTAAAATCAGATAAATTCTTACTTGCTAGCATAAATGACACTTAGTAATATAGAATTGGTGCACTGGCTTTTAAATAGATAAGCTATTTTTTGTGAAAACATTCAAATAATACTAGAGATTTATTGAATGAGATGATTAAGATATTTTCTGAAATGCGGATTGGAAGGATGTCTAGGAAAGGATCTCTTCAATGTTAGAATCAGGTCAGGGTTCAAGAGGGATCCAAGGTAGTGGACAGCAGCATTCGTGGACAAGCTTCATTTAGGTGGCTTTTAAGTCCAGTTCCAGGTAAATCAGCTTCAATGTAGCTGAAAGATGGAAAAAAAGTTCATACCTTGTTGCAAGCAGCATCCTCATTCCTATACAATTTGGGGCAAATTTCTCGCAATTTTGCACTGACAGAGTCAACTGAGGCATTATCACTTAGATAGCTGAAACACATACATTCAATTTTACAGCATTTCAAACCGCAGCATAAACAAAATTCACATATTTTAATGTTGCATATTAATAATTAACCACCAATCATATACCTGTTAATGAGGCTAGTAATAAGAGCAGAGCACAGAGGTTGTCCAACTAGAATGAGGTCTCGGAAAGTCATCACAGATAAATGAGACTGATCCTCCTAAATTACAAAATCAATCAATCAATTGTAATAAATAATTTCTGTCATTTAATTTGTTTGAGTTTACTTACAGGGGCAAGACCTTGAGCAAGGTTGTGGAATTGATGATCTGACAACACCTTCCACAAACCAAGCACTTCACATGTATGAGAGAGGAAAGTTTTAAGTGCATCCAATGAGCGCTTCTCTTCCAGCTGTGCTTCTTGCAGAGCTGTGTGAGGAGCACCAATTCGGTTTGGTCCAGGAGTCTCCAGAGGGTCAACATGACGGCTAATGGAAAGTGAAGTTTGGAATTGACTGCTGGAGCTAGAAAAAAAGAAATAGTCCACATTTACCACATGGTAATAAATGGTAAAAAGGTGTGAGATAATAAGCAGACATTACCTGTTGAGCATTGCTAGTTGGGTATTCCTGTCCAGAAAAGCACGAAGTGCATGCAGATGGCTTAAGACCCACACACAATCTTCCCCTGACACAGCACTAACTAAGAAATTTTTCCTGTTATCAGCAGTAATTCGCTGGGTCACCTTCTGACTCCACAGTGGGCGTAAGATCCTACTGACGTACAAATAAAGACCATTGTGTTTGGCTGAATATGACATCAGATGACCATCAGTAGCTCCTTGATTGCTTATTCCCATAGAAACACCAGCAAATGATGAATGGGGTGCATTGTGGGCTACAGGTGTTGACACAACGTTTGGATTGAAATTTCCAGCAACTGAATATGGGAATGGTGAGGCTGCAATGTTTGGGCGAGCTGGCACACCAGTTCTGGGTTCTCCACCATATAAAAAGAAAGCCCTGGTCGCCCATTCAGAAAGTTGTGCATTCTGGGTACTTTCCAAACATGCAAGAATGAGACATGTTGCGCAAGCTTGTTCTTCTGATTGCACTTCAAAGAATGTTTTTACTGCATCATTTTCAGGTCCCCCTCTTTCAGTCATTATCTGTCGAAGTATATCTACTGGACGTAATTTATGGAATATTTCGGTGCCCTAAAAGGTGAAGTAAATTTCAAATTGTTATTTTAAACATTAAGTAAATCAAAGAAAGAAATTAATTATAGTAAACCAACCTGTGGAGTCAACACAACATATTTACGTGGAGGCTCTATGTGTTGGCGAACAACAAGAGGGGGGTCTGGTTGATCCAAAGAAGAATCAGGTTGAGTAGTCGTAGTTGTATCTACATCTGCTATGGCCTGACAATTGGCAATGGGACCAATTGGAAGTTCACCACCAATTTCAGCTAGAGCCCAAACACGACCGTTTAAATTAAGAACTGTTTGGACTTCTACCAAATATGGATGGAAGGGATAAGGGTCACTGCTCAAACACCAAAGGGTGTCACATTCACCACCTCCTGATGTGATAAGTATGGTGTTTCCTGCAAGAGGTTTATCAAGTTAATGAAGAGAAAGGTTTTACAGACAGATACTGATGCAAGATAAGCACAGTACAAATTGTGTTGAATTTATTACCTTTGTTGTATGTAGCCATATGAACCTTTGCAGGTCTATGAGATGGTGCATTAGCAGCATAACCCGGAGGCAGACGTACATGGAGCAAATTCAATGTATAAGGTCGCACACCTCTACTAACACAACCAGTAGTAAAGTATAATCTTGCTCCTGTCTGAGTAACACCCACAAGGTTTAAATGAGTGGATTCTTTTGATTGGATGGCTGAAATGCTCACAATTGGTCTAAAGTTGTTACTGTCAAGGGTTTTGCTGTAAGAAAAAGATAGTTAATTAGATTATAAGAAAAAAGTAGTTTTAAATCTGATATAAATGAGCAGTCTGATTATGTACTAACTTCACAATTTTGATTGCATTCTGAACAATAGAAGCCTGAGACAAAGCTGTGGTGCGGCTCATTGATTGACCATCTGATCCCATGTCAAACACAGCAATTGTGCCTTTGTTAGATAATGTGTAAAGGACATGACGGCTTCCATCTACAGCGATTTGGGAAATAGAATCTTCTTCCGCAAATGCTGCACTTAAGAATGAGGGAAGTATGTATGATAATGTCCCCACTGAGTGATTCACTTTCCTGCACCTCTTGCTAAACCAGCCTCCTTCAGCCTTGCAATTAACACAGAAAGAAATTGTGAGTCTGTGAGACAACAGGGCACGTCACAGAAAAATTTGAAGCAGTTACCTGGTATACTATCTCATAGAGGTTGCCATCACGGCCTCCAATAAAAATACGACCAGAATCTGTACCCACAATGGTTGTAGCAATAATACCATCAGTGGGTACACTGAATACAGGTTCTAAGATCACATGCATTTCTTCATGTTGTCCTAGAAATTCAAGATAGATAATTTTATAAACCTTATTTAAATGAACTAATGATGTGATAAAGGTAATGACTGGTTAAGTAAACCATTTCCCATACCATTGGCAGTAGAAAATGTAACACCTAGAATGACAATATCAATGGTTGTGGCCAGGATAAGAAGATACCTGATAAAGCTTTTAAAAACTCCAGGCTTAGGGCGTATGAGACCAACACACAAAATTGTTTCTCCCAATGCATCATAGTACGCAACATCTGACCTAAAGGGAAAAAAGTGATTAGAAATGTCAACAAAATGTACTTGAAGGAAAACTTCAGAACACTGCTCTTACCCATGTTCATAGCTCCAAACATAGATATCGCTGTCAATAGTCAACCATGCACGATGAATGTCAGTAAAAAGACCCATCATGCAGTGGCATTGCATATCTGAAGCTTCGCTAAGAAAAATAATTAAAATTCGCATTCAACAATTCTTTAAGGTGGGTGACTAGATAGATAGACAGCTTTCATGGCAATTACTATGAAAGCGTCATCTAAGTGAAGTGAGCTTATCGTAAGATATTCTACAACCCAATGAAAGGATACGACTAAAATGTTCCATAACTTCTCGAGGCAAAGGGAACTGGAACTGACTTCGTAGTTGTTTTAGATCAGCCAGGCCACCTGACAGATTGTTTAGACTAGGATAGTCACTATCATTCATTCCACTCACAGTAGCTCCACCTAAAAATTTAAATTCAGTATTTAACAGTAGATACCATCAAGAAAAGTATCTCACAAATGGCAGGTCAAGTTACATACTTTCAGCAGTCAATCTCATCATACTGATGAGGGTAGGAAAATTGTTGTCTTTGTTGATTTGGAGTTCGATCATCTTGCCAGCAAGATCCAGCGAATCCATATAAGTGCGGTATTGATCTAGTTGACCCGTACGGTCCATCACACTTCCCGTCAAGTTCATTCTTAAGCTCTAAAGGGAAAATGTAGGAAATCAAAACAAATCTTATCTAAGGTGAGAGCTAAAAGCAATGGTCAGGCAAGGCAGGTGTCGATGACCATTAAAGGTAAAGCAGGAGGTTGGCGATTGTGAAATAAATATTTAACACACACAGATAGGTTTCAACAGAAACGTCACAACGTATCTAAAACAATACCGGCTCTTTCAAATAAGGTACCACCTGCTTTAAGGTTAAGAGGACAATGACATAGACTTAACAAGATAGAAGACGGAAAAAACACAAAAAAGCGAAGAAATTTAAAGAATATCAACAAACCGTTTACTGAAACACTGCAAAATATAATTTTTCCAGTTGTGTTATGTAAAAAGTTTCCTATCTCCGGAATAGCCGCGCTTACAACAGGTTTGTTTCGGCATGAAGCGCGCGGCGCAGGAGTGCCGGTCAAGGAAGATTGAGAAGAGGATGCACCCGATGCAGCAATCGGCAACCCGAGGGGCATTTGCGCATTTGCGTTAGAAGCAATTAGAGGGAACCTAGGAACGTTTTCAATGTCATTTAAAGTGTCTTCCAGCTAGAAGATACTTGGTGTAGAACCAAAGATATGATGCGACTTTCTGCTTTCTGAATCTGAAGCATTCTGATGGTGTACAGTCACGCAAAATGTCTCGGTGATGGGGCCCTTTTTATTTAAATTTGAGGGTGTTTCTTTCATTTTACT